TAGTGTGTTCAAAAGTGTAAAGTTCTTGTATGTCGGCGGCGGGGTCCTCGGTCTTCAGTTAGGTTGTCAATCTTGACTTTTGCTTTCTCAATCCGACTTGCACTCATCATGGTCCTTTCTCTTCCAGTCTTGATGCTCTTTCTCTCTCCTTTGTAGTGTCTGGGCATCTTTGGCGTTCATGTACTTTTGTGCTTGCTTCATGAGCATCATTAGGTTGGGAGGAGGATTTTTCTACTGTGAGAAACTGAACGTGGAGGAGTGTAGGCCACTCATGATAGCTGTTACTGCCACAGACGGGTCAAGGGCTCGGACTTGTAGGGCCTCGGCATTAAACCTCGCCAAGTACTCTCTTAGGGCCTCTTCCTTCTTCTGTCGCACCTGCATTAGGCTGGCCAATGTCTTCTAGTGTCTCTGATTGGCACTGAACTATGCTAGAAACTACATCTCCAACTACTTCCAAGAGGATATAGACCGCAAAGGGAGGGAGGCATACCAAGTTCTGGTCACTCCGCGGAGGGTTGTGATGACAACCTTGCTCATTAGTCCTTTGAAGGAGCTATGCAACATCATCATGGCCTTGAATCCTTCGATGTGGTCATTGGGGTCCGAGGCTTCATCGTATTTCTCGAATTGAGGAGGTTGCCAACCACCTAGCAGAAGCTCATTCACAATCTCTTGAACGAAAACTGGTTCCTTCACGAGCTGGCTATGGTATTTTGTGGGTCGATCCATTTGAGGTGCCACGCTTCTATCTGCTTGGCTGCATTCCAATTCGGCTAGCCATTCTCTCAATTCCCTGATTTCAGCATCTTTGTCGGCTAGAGTCACGTCTACGAAGTTCTCTCCATTTTCAATTGTAGGTTGATCTTAGACCGAACTAGACTCGGCTATCAAGATTGGTAGTTGTGGTGGATGTTGGCCGAGCCATTCTTTCGCTGGTACTCGGGTGGTGCAGTGTGACTTGCTGTGAATGTCATGTGCTCGAGACCGGATTGGGAGTCTGGCCTTCTGGGTGACTGCTATCTTTCATGGTTGAACCTAACCCTGTGCCTGTCTGTGTGGCACTTTTTGGGGTCCTAGGTGTGAGGATCAACCGTGGTAAGCGCCTACACGGCAGGGTGAATGGTTTGGGGGCTTGAGGTGGCTGTCCCAACGTCTCTATTATCAGAAGAATTCGGTCGACATTTTTTGCATTACCTAGAACTACGCAAGATCGACCATGGTTTGTTGTTGGGGCTCCCAAGGTGGAGAGTTGTGGTGAGAATGGGATCCCCGAGATGGGGAGAGTGGTTTGATGTGTTTCTATGCATAGTTGTTATGAGTACATGGAAGGAGGTTTGGGTAATGGCTTTTTGTGCGTTTCCTACTGACGATGGCAATATGATGTTATCTTATCTGAGGTGTTCTGAAGAGAGGATGCAGTCAGATAATCCTGCCAACTGGATGAAACCGAGGTGGAAGGGTGAAGTCGTGCACTAGAATCTGCAACCAAAAGGGTAGGTCAGAGGCCCGATGAGTTGTTTCCCAAGTAGATATTCCGACGCTCAAGTCAATTGAATGGAATGGTAGGTGGTCGGGCCAAGCTAGTAAGAACAGTGCTGGTCCAAGCCGAAGAGGTAAAGTAGAGCTATCAAAGTCCAAAAGTCCCTTACCCTGAGCGGAGATTAACTATTTATAACAGAAGATTTGTGTTCTACTCATATGAGGCTTTAAGAGTTGTCGGGATGAGGTTGCCCACCGTGGTCTTCGGGATGACTCCTCTTCCTCGACGGGGTTAACTTCCTCGTTCGTGCAAGACATTCCTTCTTGGTCACAGTTATCTATCCCACGTGGTGCCGACATGGTATCCTTGGCCAGTTCAACCATAACCCAAACACCTGTAGGTTTGAATTCATGCCTCCTTATGATAGATGCCTTACAACCAACTTGACCATGAGTGGATGTGGATTGGTTAAAGAAAAGTTGAAAATAATGACACTTAAGTTCTTAGTTTAAATTGCAAGGTACCAATTGGCTGATTGGTAAAGTCTCCTACTAGTTGTACTAAAGAATTAGGACCGATTCCTGCGAGCACTTAGGTTGGGGGGTTTATTTGGGGGATGGACTACCCCACTGTATCGCCCCTTAGAGCCAAAAAAGTTCTTAGTTTAGACAATTCAATAGAGTCCATATTCTACTCTAAACAATGTTGGACTCTCTTAATTTAACTTTTAATTGCTTGCTTGATAATGACGTTATTATACCACTTCCCAAATTCCAATGCATATTTGCTAGTAAGAAAGCAACGCTAGGCATATCACCATTTTGTGCCAATTGTCCTCGACATGAAAAAAAAATGCATATTCCCTCTATCCATTATCCCATTAAACTTAGGTTGGGAGAAGTACACAATGCAAAATATTGTATACAATATTTTAAAACCTTTGTATTTGCAATTTTTCAAAACTAACCTTTAGTGGCAAAACAAATCTGATTTGATTTATTGACTCAAATAAATGACCCAAAACAGAGGCTTTCAATATCTTATATTGGTCTAGGTCCCATTCTTTTATATAAAGTGGGTTGTTATGTGTAAATAAAAGTCCATTTAATTTTCTAAATCTATACTATTATTAAAAGTGCGAATGGGAGTGTGAAATTTTTGTTTGACTAAAACACCTTAGTTTTTTAATTTTGTCACTCTCTAATTGTAAGAACAAAAATGCAATTTGAACAATAAATTTTCTTTCATTAATTCTTATATTTAAGGTATTAATTCTTATCATAGTGTGACAAATAAGAATAACTTTTATAGACATAAAAACATTAAAACATTGTAAAAAATTTTGGAAACATATTATAATCATCATACAAAAATTGCTACATACAAAGCACGTGCATAATTACTAGTAAAATAATAAGGCTAACCATATTGGGCCTCAAAGGAAGTATGTAAGAATTGTTGTTTCGTATTGAATGCAGAATGACTAAATATGAAGATGACTTTTGCATAAAGTTTGAACATGTAGCAAGTATCCCATTATGGAATAAAATAAATTCATACATACATTTACGAGTATCACTCAATTAATTGTCTTTTAAGGCCTTGTTCGCTTTTCGGTAAGTTACTCGAGTGAGTGTTTCTTGGGAAATACTTACCCTAGTAAATGTACTTATCCATGTTTTTTTATTTTCCAAGTAAATAAGACAATGATTGTTTTATCTATAAAAAATCATTATTAAAAGGGGCAATTTTGTTCCATCCAAGTGTTGACAACTTTCCCTCTAGGTGGGAAAGTTACTTACCTAGGGAAAATAAATTTTTCATGGATCCCACATAAATTTGAAAACGGAATATGGGTATCTTGGTGAGCTGGAACCAAATTCTCATTGACCAACTCCCCCTCTTCCCTTTACTAAAAAAATCCCCCCTCCCAAAATCCAAAAAAAAAAAAAAACAAACAAGCCCTAAAAGGTATTATCTAAAACTCCCTACATTCTCTGATTCTCTTAAATTTACCCTAACTTTTTGATATCTCAAGAGACTCCCTTTAGAAGTTTTGGGATAAAACATAAGTAAGTAAAAAGATGAACAATTGTTGTAAAATTATTAAATTAATCTTTTGATTCAAATATAAAGAATTTCATCTCACTAAGGTTGTATATGGAAATGATACAAAAAGAGTGTAAATGCAAATATACATAATGCATTTCGGTTTATGCAAATGCAAAGCTGGGTTAGTTTTGCATTAACAAATTTACCTTCTTACCAAACAACTTTTAGTTGTAATATATACAAACATGAATCCCGAAAAAGTAATACACCTTTTATTAACAAAATCCACTTTTAATGCAAATTTATTTCTTTTTTTGGATGCAAAATTACAAAATCCACTTTTTAGTTGTAATGTTTGGATGCATTCTTGCCAAACACTAATAAAACTTAACCATAGTGCATATTTACACTGAACTGACATTTACACTCTATTTGCACTGTTTTCCAAATGCACACTAAATGGAGAAGGAATACAACACCAAGAGTGTTACTTTAAGGCCCCATTTGTTTGACATTAAATTATTTTACTTGGATAAATGTGTTACCCTAGGAAGGTGTTACTCAAGTAAGTATCTGTACCCATGTTATTTTTGTGATACAATATTAATCGGATAAGTGAACAAATTTCCTAAAGGACCCCTAGCTTTTTTGCTAGGTCAGGGGCATTGGACATGAAGAGAGACGAAGAGAGGCTATGGAGTGATCTCTCTTTTAATTTCTTACTAGTAGGGTCCATTCAAACTGCAATACATTAGAGAGTTTTATTTAGGTGGCGTTTGATAAATCTAAAAAGTTAGAAAGAGATTAGAAGTGTCTGAAATCTGAGAAGAGACATAGTTGTTTTTTGACTTTTTTGAGGTCTGAACAAAGAATGTTGTTTGTATTGGATCAAACCTTCAGCATATAAAATTCACTAATTTTACTATTTTACCCATAAATTAGACTACTCGGTAATTTTGAATTTAACTTGTACTATTTCATAAAAATAATTTATTAAATTCAAAATAATATTAAAAAATATGAATAAATTACAAAAAATAAAAGTAATTTATGAAAATAAGAAAAAATTGAAAATACAAATAGAATATACTCAGTGGAGAAGAAAGATGAATACGATGAACGGAAGATGAAAGAAGAAGAAGAAGGTTGGAGGAATCACTCGCTGCCGCTGGTTAGCTATATGAGTCACTCATCACCTCTGGTTAGTCGAAGGAGTTACTTGCTGCCACTCTCGAAAGTTGCAGCTGTCGAAAATGAAAAACAAATGAGAGAAAAAAGAAAGAAAGAACGAGAGAGAGAAAGAGAGAGAGGGAGAAACATAAACATGTTTTTAAGGGTGTTTTGGACATTTGGCCTGATTCTTTTATAAGGGAAATCTAAATCCGGTTCGAATGCTCTATAAATCCGATACATAAGAATCTGATTCGGTTTTGATTCAAATCTGGACCTACCTTATATCCATGATTCGATCCGTTTGCAGTCCGAGCTGCATCTCAGGAGTCAGGATGATGAACATCGTGAACTATTTAAACCGAGCCGAGTGTTTCGGCCATTTCGTATTTCGTGGCAGCTGTTGAAGCTCGAATTTCCCGCGAAAACTTGCACTCCTCTCTATCCCTTTCTTCCTCTCTCTAAACATCACTCCTCTCACTGATCATGCACAATAACACCATTGTCACCTTCTCCATTATCCATGTCCAGTCTCCCGACCTCCTCAGATCCTTCTGATTCAAGAGACCAAAATGCCAATCCGAACAACGGGGATTCATCGGCGGCACCGCCTGTTTCATCGACAACAACCACGACAACAAAATTCAAGACTAGGAAGATCCCTCAGATACCAATTCATCGAAGCGAGGTAGAGACCTCGGAGATAAAAGAAGCCAGCGACGGAAGCGACGAAATGGAACTCGGTCCCGATGACCCTTCTCCGATCCTAGCATCTTTTCTCGGCCTTAACCCCATTAGAACTAGATCGGCTCCTTCACCGCTCCGTTTCTCATCTCCACCTGTCGCCTCTCCCAATCAGACCAATGAAAAGAACGAGAGCATAGACGAAGGCAATACTTGCCCCAAATTCGTTCTTCCTCATCACCCTTCCCTCTCAGGGGAGCCAGGTAGGGTTGATTTTTTTCATCCTTTTTGTGTCAGAATATTTGGTCCGAGATAAAATATGTGAAGTTTCTCGTGAACTAGTTTTACTAAGTGCGAGACGTTGATTCTTACGGCGTTCAGTTTGTTTAACCACTGGAGATCAACTGTCTGATCTGTGTAGGGAAAAGGAGCCACTGGATTCAATCGAAATCCTTTAGGGTTCCGATGACACTCAATCCAGGTTTGGAGGTAATGAGTTCTTCATGCACTTGGGAGTCTTTGAGGTTGAGTGCGAAATGCAGGCTAGTTTGCTCAGCTTCATGATAAATCCCCTATTGCAGGGTTTTGACACAGCCAAGGAATTCCAGTCTCCACGCTTCCAGGCCATAATGCGTGTCACAAGTGGTCGTAGAAAGAGAACTCCTGACATCAGGAGCTTCTCTCACGAACTAAATTCCAAAGGTTTACGGCCCTTCCCACTGTGGAAGTCTCGTACCTTGGGACATATAGAGGTAACTATCTGCTTTCACGTATGGATTATAAAAATGTGTGAATTTTGATAGGGCTATTCCTCTTCATTGTTGATGGTTTGTTCTTTTCTCATGGCATCACCTCTCCCAGGAGATCATGGTTGTTATTAGGGCAAAATTTGTCCGATTAAAGGAAGAAGTTGACTCCGAATTAGGTATTTTTGCTGGTGATTTGATGAGCATACTTGAAAAGAATGTTGATGCTCATCCAAAATGGAGAGAGACTTTGGAGGATTTATTGGTTATAGCCCGAAAATGTGCTAAGATGTCAGCCACTGAGTTCTGGTCAAAGTGTGAAGCCATCGTGCAGAATCTAGATGACCGGCGTCAAGAGTTGCCCATGGGAACTCTAAAACAAGCCCATACCCGCATTCTCTTTATCCTCACCCGATGTACCCGTCTGCTGCAGTTCGATAAGGAAGGGGGTTTTGAGGATGAACATATTCTTGGGCTTCATCAACTCAGTGATCTTGGAGTCTATTCAGAACAATTTTTTGGGGCTGAGAACCCAAGGGTCAAAAGCTCATTGAGTGGGAAGGAAGCTAATGAGAAACACACAGATAAGTCACATGGGCAAGAACAAAGCAACTTGGATCTGCATCAAGATCAAGATGATCAGCATTTGAGTTATGTTAATGCTTCAAATATTGGAAATGCTAAAAGCAGGGATCGAATACCCTCTTGGAAGAAATCTCCATCTTCTGCTGAGAAGAGCCGAAGGGAAGGCATAGATGAGAAAGATTCCCAGGCCAAAGATAAATTGGAATCCTCGGGGCTTCTGAATAAGATGAAATTGGGTGTTGACAAGAGTGCTGATAATACCCCACAATTCCCTCCTGGAAATTTAGATAATTCTTCAAATGCAAAAAGAGTTTCTTGGGGTTTCTATGGAGATCAACAAAACATAGTGCATGAGAATTCAATGATCTGCCGGATCTGTGAGGTTGAAATACCAACTGTACATGTTGAAGATCACTCCAGAATCTGTACAATTTCTGATAGATGTGACTTAAAAGGATTAACAGTAAATGAACGTCTTGAAAGAGTTGCTGAAACTCTTGAAAAGATACTAGAAACATGCACTCCAAAAGGTTCAGATGCTGAACAAGGAAGCCCGGATGTTTCATCAAGTATAGCTGAAGATTTTGATCCTGTATTTCCTGAACAATCTTCTGAGGACTTGCTTGACTGTTTACCTGAAACTGATGGTCTTTTTATCATGGATGATATAAAGAGTTTGCCCGACATGTCATCTAAGATGGGTTCTATTATAATGCCCGATCAGGGCACAGCGTCATCATCAGCTGGAAGCTCGACTCCAAGATCTCCATTGTTGACTCCACGGACTAACCAGATTGAACTGCTGTTGAGTGGAAGGAATGCAATTTCAGAACTTGAAGACTTTCAACAGGTATTTTTCTTATTAAGGTATTATTTCATACTATTAAGAGTGAGACCATTTTAGCTACCACTGAAAATGTAATGTCAACTTAACTTTCTTCAGCTACAGTTGATATTGAGAATGTACAAAACAAGGTCTGAGCTGTACAATCTATAACATCTTTGTGTGACAGGCTTAAAATAGAACAAAACAGGAATTCGGAACCACGGGCAAGAAGCCTGATATAACTTTCTTCTTGAACTAACAATATATTTTACATTTTCTTGATCAATAAGAGAAGATTTTATTAAAGTCAAACTTGAATATTACATCAAGGTGGGAAAATTCTGCACTCCAAAACTACAACTTTATAGCTTTGCCCAAAATATTTGATGCCTAACAGCCCCTTGTTTAGCTAAAGTACCCGCCATCCCTTTTGCTGTTTTCACCCATTTAAAAGAAACACTCAACTCCCTTGCTATACTTCCAATTTCCTAAATTGTGTGCCCATAGATTCATGGGATTTGAGTACTGCATCTTGTGCAAGAAATGAACACCTGAGAGTCCCCTTCTACCTCCAAATTGTGGAGTCCAAAATGCTTAGCAAATTTTAGTCCATGGAGTAATCCAAACAGTTCTGTTGTCAGTGCATCACCATTTACTAAGGGCCCTGAATATGAAGCTAGCAGCCTAGCATCTTTCCTTCTGAGTCTCAGAATACACCTCCTAACCCAGCAGCAGCTTGATTACCAATATAACTTCCATCAAAGTTAAGTTTCGTAAAATTGGTTGCAGGGGGTCTCCAGTCCATGATTGTTCTTTCCTTTACTTGGGCTGAAAGTGCCACTTCTTTCCAAGTTCTCAAAATGTCATTTAGTGAGAAAACTTGGAAATCCTACAGTCTTCACCCAGTGTGCAACTTTTATTTTTACCGTGTCTATGATTTCCACCTCTGTCCTACTCTTTTCATTGAAAATCCTCCCATTTCTTTCTTCCCAAACAGTTCAGATCATAGCGGCCCTCACTTCTTTCTGCAATAACCTTCCTCTTTTCTTTGGCTATCTCAAGAAGTTTGGGTCAAAGAGACCCACTACATCCTGAGGAGTCCACCTGCACCCAAAGAGAGAACAAAGATGCTCCCAAATACAAAGCACAAAAGGATAGGATAAAAAATATGAGAAATAGTTTCACCTTTGTTTTTACAGAGGATGCACATGTGAGGGGGAATGCACTTACTTGGCCTTTTTTTCTACAACATGTCATAGCCTCATAGGTGTTAATATTTCCAAGGAAAACTTCCCAACATAATGCCTTAATTTTAGGAGGGATTGGCTTACTCCAAATTTCTTTTACATTGTAATACTAATTCTGTCAATATGTATTTAACCATGGCCATTGCTTGGTGCAAGAAGAAAAACAGTCCAAAAGAATGAGGGGACTGAATTAAAAGTTGTGAAAAAGTATTAGATATTAGCATCAAAGAGAAAAGAAGAGGAGAGAAGAAGAAGAAGTTGGCGGCAATAGGGTTTTGGGAGAATTGTCAATCGAATGTTACTCCCTTCCCCAATCCTTTTCATTAAAACATAATTTACAAAGTTTTGGTATTTACAGAGAGGCCCTTAATTGGGCGATTAACTTAATTAAGCATAACATAAAGAAACATAAAAGGCCCATTAACAAAAGAAACAGAACATAAACAAATAAAAGCATCCTATGGGCTTGAGAAGGTAACCCTACTAATTGAAGCTTGAGAAGACTTTCTGAGGTATTATTTTGATTACAAGACACAAACCAGTTCTCTAACTGAAGTTTTGTTGCAAGGGATGAAAATTGGGAGGACTCTAAATTATAACAGTTTACTGGTTGAAGGCAATTCTAGCTTGGTAATCAGATGGATACAGAATAAAAGAGTGGGTCCTTGGTGTTACAAGCATACCATAAGAGAAGTGAGCAGAATTGCAAGAGAGCTGAGAACCACATTTAATTGGGTAAACTGGACAGAAAATGGCTTGGCGGATGCCTTGGCAAGACAAGGGGCTAGTAGGGACATGGTTCAAAATATCGACTTGATACACCTGATATCATATTGTATGAGATATGGGTCGAATGATAAATATTGATTCAATTAGTCCTGTATCATTTGTATTAGTGATGTATTGCCTAATATCATATTGTATTGTTTTGCATTGTATTGTATCATTACATATCATTCAGTTTGAAATTCGAAATTCTAATTTTTGAAATTTAAAATTTAAATCAGTCATTAACTGCACCAAATTCCACTCATATCCCATATTCTTTTTTTTTTGATAAATCTCATATCCCATATTCATTGTGCCTTAATCTTCTTAATCTCTCTTATTAAATGCAAATTACAAAAATGTCTCACAACTCACAAGGCTGTAACAAGGTTTGAATCTGCTCTTCTACAATCAAAGTAGTGACGACACACCATTAGGCCATTCTCTAATTCCATGCAAGTATTTGACTCTAGTGTTATTTAATTTGGGGGCCAAATGTATTTTGAATAAATTGTGGTATATATGAATATCAAACCAAAATATTAATAAAAATGATCATAAAATTAACATTTTGTAAATATTAACAAAATAAATGGTCTACCAAATCTATAATTTTAATAATTTACAAAATAAACTGCTAAAAATACAATAATTATCTTATTAATTAAAATTTATGAATGTGCATATGATACATACTTAAGAAATTCCAATTGCTATGATGTATTTTTTAATTAAGATTATATAATTCTATAAATCATTAAATAATAAATAAAAATATATTTATTATTGATAAAGAATTAAAAAAATATTTACAAAATTATCTTAAATGTTTGTTTTCTCTCTTAATGAATGGCTTTTCTACCAAAAAAGGATACATGTCCTACTATATTGACTTTAATCTATTTTTTATATAAACTATTAAAATATGCATTTCTTATGTTATATATCTTATTTATAGTCAATTTGAACCTAAATTTGGCCATGTCAATGTATATGTGGGATTTATGACCATGTGTTCCCAAACTGTATTTGCATTCATTTCTAAGCTGTTCCATATGATACATTACACGATACCAATACTTCGACCATTGAGTAGGGAGCAAGGATTCAATTATTGATATGATATGTTCAATATGGGGTGTATTTTTTTTGATCAGCAAAAGAGAATTTTATTTGAAATTAGGGTTAAAATAAGGTTTTACAGCTTTGTGTATGGGATTAAAGCTCCCACACTATTACAAATTTCTGTCCCACTTTACATTGCAAGTCAAAACAATTGTTGCCTCAAAGCCTTGAAAGAATGGTAGGATCCATCTAATGGACGCCAAAAGGTTGCGGAATGGGTGGGCGAATTTCAAAAATTTTCCTACCTTCTCCCAACTGGGAATCATATTCCCTAAATTTAGAATACTATATTCAAGGATCTTACTTGAACCATAATCGAACCAGATCTGAACCAAAAA